CAAAGGCGCCCGATATTATTGCGTTCTGTGTAAAAAAAAACTGCGTCTGTTCGGCCAGCTATGGGCCTCCCTTGGAGCCAATGGGCTCCGTCGGGGCCCAGGTGGGAGCGGGGTGGGGGGACATGACCCCGTGTCCCCTCCTCTGGATCCGCCCCTGATTGGAGTGACGTCGTGCTTACCTATTTTTCAAGAAAATATATTGCTCTGACCCTCAATATATTTGCTATCCGTGGACGGTAAACGTAAGCCGCGTAGTTCCTAATTCACACGCTTTGTCTTTGTTTTGTTTCAGCTTCACATTGAAATAGAGGCACGTCAGTTAAGAAATATCGATTAAATGAACGCTAAAAATTTTCGGCCATGGAATCAAAACTTTTTGGGCACCGAAATATCGCATGCCATTTTGTTTACTGGCGTCGTTCCTGCGCATTTCGAGCTGTTACATATTGAAACATGGAAACGTCGAATACGAATATATCCGTAAAACGTACGCTAAATATTATGTCCTTAGACTCAAAACTTGTTGGTTGCCGAGTCGTGGCATGTCTGTTTGTTTACTGAAATCATCCAAACACTTTTTCAGCTATCCGTTTTCAAATAGTTAGAATGTGAGCCTACCTAGCAAGAACCCAGAACGGGATTCGCGGGAGACATGCATTCGGGTGAATGTAACATTGGACAACGGCGGTGAGTAGTAGCTGACATTTGAATGAGGTCAAACTCGGCTGAGGGTGATCGTTTAGTTGCAGTTTCATCATTAGGTCGGCTGATGCCAAGTAGGTTAAGCGAATATTCTACACTGACATGGGAACAGGTAAAGGGAAAATCTCCAGTTGCAAACGGAGCATGGAGTTTACCAAGTGTCAGGTAGTTACCCATTCCAGTACACCCTGACATATCTAAAAGCTAGTTCGACAGGGAGCGTCTTTGCGCCACACCAAAGCCCCTTCAACACCACTCCCCGCCCCGCCTCAAAGACCAGGGACATGACGGTCAGAACTCTGTGCCCACCTGATACTCGGGCAGATGCACCGTGGCCGAGGCGTCGTAGAAATGCAGGGCTCGATCCGACGTGGCGTATACGAAGTGCATCGAGTTGGACTGGTGAACGGCATCGTTGACGCGCACGCGAGGAGACGAGCCTGCTGGCAGCCGATGTGGTCAAGGCAGGCGGGCACGCGCGACCGACCGACCCGATGACCAGGGGGTCAGCAGGCTGCTGAAGAGTGAGCGCCGGTGGTGGCCGGTGAGGCAGGTCGGAGAGGAGCGCCGGTGGTGGCCGGTGCGGCAGGTCGGAGAGGAGGGCCTGTGGTGGCCGGTGAGGCAGGTCGGAGAGGAGAGCCTGTGGTGGCCGGTGCGGCAGGTCGGAGAGGAGGGCCTGTGGTGGCCGGTGCGGCAGGTTGGAGAGGAGGATCTGTGGTGGCCGGTGTGGCAGGTCGGAGAGGAGGGCCTGTGGTGGCCGGTGAGGCACGTCGGAAAGGAGGGTCTGTGGTGGCCGGTGTGGCAGGTCGGAGAGGAGGGTCTGTGGTGGCCGGTGAGGCAGGTCGGAGAGGAGGGCCTGTGGTGGCCGGTGCGGCAGGTCGGAGAGGAGGGCCTGTGGTGGCCGGTGAGGCAGGTCGGAGAGGAGGGCCTGTGGTGGCCGGTGCGGCAGGTCGGAGAGGAGGGTCTGTGGTGGCCGGTGTGGCAGGTCGGAGAGGAGGATCTGTGGTGGCCGGTGTGGCAGGTCGGAGAGGAGGGCCTGTGGTGGCCGGTGAGGCACGTCGGAAAGGAGGGTCTGTGGTGGCCGGTGAGGCACGTCGGAGAGGAGGGCCTGTGGTGGCCGGTGAGGCACGTCGGAGAGGAGAGCCTGTGGTGGCCGGTGCGGCAGGTCGGAGTACCCACTGACGTCTCTGTCTCTGTACGTGAGAAGAAACTGTCGTGGGTGTGATGAGGCCATCCAAACTCGATCGGCATAGCGCTGGGGCCGAGGGAAGAGATCTGAGGCGGTAAACGTCCTCACACCCACGCCTAGGCTAGTCTCCGCCTTCAACATCCCGCCTTTTCGGCGCCGCTCATCTTCAGGGGCGGTCCCCATCCTCACAGCTTATATTCACGCTTGGAGCGGGACCTACCCGCTCACCCACCTCTGGACCGACCCCTGATGTCGCCCAGCGGCAGCTGGTAGCCCCGCTGGTAGCGCAGGCTGGCGTCGTACATCGAGACGGTGCCGCCGACGGAGACGGACAGGTACGTGTGCACCGGCTCTGTCACCACGAGCAGCTTCACGGTCGTGGACCGCTGCGGGCCGGAGAAGAAAGAGTCACGAGGAAGTTTGGAGAGGTAGAGCTACGCGAAAGTCATAGGTGAAAAATTGTGGTGCTTTGGTAGGCTGATTTGTTCCTTGTAGAAGATAAAAGAGTAGTTGTGCATAAGGATGTTATGCATGGCAAGTTTTCTGGTCTGATCGGTGTAAATGAAAGAAGGCTGAACAGAGAAACACTGATCACCTCCTTCGCCTAAGAAGGCATTGGTGACGATCTAACCCGTAATATTCAGCAGCATAAACTGATCTCCGCTGAGTTGCATTGCTCTTTTGAATACTTACATGATTTTCCTTTAAGACAGTGGCTACAACATCGTCTTTGAAAGGCCGCTCCAGCTCCTGTGACTCCGGCTTCATGTGAAGCAAGAAGTGGTCAAGCACGTCCATCCATGTTATAAAACCTTGCCCTCTGACATCGATCCGGTCGAACAGCTGAGGCTGCAGCAGATCCGGCAGGTAGGCGAGAACGTAGGCGGCGAACTCTTCCCTGGCCACGGCTCTGGTCAGCTGTGAGCTCTCCGTGGTGTTGGACGGCTGTGAGAGGCCTCGGGAGGTGTATACATGCCGGACGGGGGAGCAGGCCGACGGCGGCGGCCGAGCAGAGCTGCCCTCTCGTGCGCGGGCGCCCAGCCTCGCCGCCCTGCTCGTGCGGCGCCTGTGGGAGAGCAGCGACGCTGGGCCGTCGGAGCTGGTCGCTTCAGCCCGCGGGACGCAGTCTGATGCTCCGCTGGGCTGCCGGGAGCCGGCGAGCGGCGACGGAGGGCTGTCTGGGTCGAGCCTCCCAGTCTCTAGGTGCGAGGCGGATCCCCGGTACCGCTGACCGGTAGACTGGGCCTCCGTTCTGAGTCCGGCCATGGGCAGCACCGTCGAGGCTCTACTGGAGCGGCGACTGGTAGAACGGTTGTCTGTGCTGAAGCCCATGGCCTGAGGACGATGAGATGATCTGCTGGAGGGACGGCTGCTGGAACATTCCGCCACTGCATCGTTGCTTACTTCACCGTCCGTAACCAGCCCGACCTCCAGGTCATCTCCCTCTGACGTACAGCGCGACACAGAAATTCTGGTTCCTAAGATAGCTGGCGGCACCAGCTGCTGGTCAGAAAATGATCCACAGCGCGTGCTTCGGCCGGTGAAAGACGCTCTCGGCCCTCTGCGGCGGTTGCCTGGTGGCATCGTGACCGCCTGAGCCGTGGTGGACTCTGAGGAATCACTGCGAAACAGACGTGGACAGTTGTGGTTCACTGAATGGCTAACATAACGAACGGCATGGCCAGAGTCAGCACTGGTCCTCCACGGGAGCGCCTGGTAGCTAAGCCACCCGTCAGCTTCTTGCTGACTACTTACCAAACTATGCTGTTTCAGCTTTCGAACGGCAGATTCTTCCGCCAGCGGTCATTTAGCCGTGACCATTTGGGGAGACATTCGTACTATTCTGAGGCCCAGTATCACGGGCTCCACAGCTGTCCGCAGGGTTCCGCCAACCTCAGGCGTCTGTTGATGCCCTCCATTGGGTGATCTCTCAAACATCCCGTGGTACTTTTGAGAATCTTGAGACCCCGAACCCGAACCACGTCTTGAGGGAAGCTGTACAGCTCTCCAGCCCCCCCCCCCTCGCCCCATCTTTCTAACGACTTTTGACGATTTGATGTGCGTTCCCTGGCGCAGCTCGCGGACCGCGCCCTGACCTGATACCGGCGCTGGGTTCGTCGCTGGCGAAGAGGCGTCGGAGTGTGTTCAGCTGGGCTGCGCTGAGCAGCACAGCAGCAGGGGAAGAGGCGTCCCCTTCGTCGCTGCTGAGAACCCGTGACCGGTGTCATACATGTCGCCGCTGCATACAGCATGAGTGCGGCCGGAGCAGAAGCCATTTCTAAGTACGTGCAACGCTTAACCAGTAGGCTGGTGTTTTCATGCAACGGTGGCTGGGTTTTGTATTCGTACCAGCCTCGCCGCTCCACGAGTTAGCTTGGACATTCCGCGAAGACATCGGCGCTTTAGAACGTCCGCGCCGTCCGAAGAGCAAGCCGCTTGACCCTCTGGGGATCAAGCCATGACTTTGCTTACCTTTCGTGTCGTTCAGCTGTGGTCATGATGAAGCTCTTCAGATCTATAGATTGTGGTTCAGTGGTAGCTGACTATCACAACAGCGGCGTGAAAAATTGTGTGAAAGGTAATGAGGACCACGGCGGCAGCGTTCCGCTCACTTCCTAAAGATAAATACGTCCTTTACACGACGCGCCATCTTAAGCGGCACGGAACCAGGAATCACGTCGGGCTAGATTGGACGCGGCGAACTGCGGCCTCCCGACAGGTGATCGCCACTGAGGGGGCACGCCTGGCCCCTTCATCGGTCCCGACGCAATGGCAGACGCCGCCGGTCTGTGCGTTTGATCAATACTGTGGCCGACCAGCGCCGCCGTGGTTTTGTTACATGCACGGTGACGCCTGGCAGGAATAACGCTCCACATCCGTCGCCACGCCGTCCGGTTCGTAGCGAACCCTGGTATAAAACGCGCAGCCTGACCCCAGACGAGCTCATGACGGTAACTGTGAAGGTAGGTATGCTTGACGTCACATGTAATTGATGTCGTCAGGTAACTGGGCGTTCATTAGCGCGACGGCCACCCAGGGGACCTCCTCCGCAGCTCGCCACGACCGGACCAGCTTCCGACGGCAGCAACAGCCCGCCTGCTATCAACAGATGAACATTTATTCAGGAATTCGACAGCTGACAACCCAGAGCGCTTTGGACATGTACAATATGAATACAACAGCCGGTGTGCGATGAACAATGGCGTCCGTGCACCCTGATCACAGCGGCGAGCAGCCTTCGCAGCGGCAGCGGCGGCGGCGGCCGGACGCTACGACTCGGCCGCCTCCGGCCACGTCACGCCGTACAGCACCTGCGCCAGCGCCGCCGCTACGCGCTGGTCCAGGATCTGCGAGGTGACCAGCGCCAGCAGACGGTGCTCGCAGCGCACGAGCGCCGGCCGGCTCTCGGGCAGACGCGCCAGGCTGAGCAGCAGGCCGGCGGCGCGGCCCAGCAGGTCCAGGCTCGTGCCCATCAGGTCGGGGTTGTCACGCAGCGCGTTCACGCCCTGCGCGCTGGCCACGCCCAGCGCACTCGCCTCGGCCGCCTCCACGAACCGCACGAGCGTCGGCACGAAGTCGGGCTGCGCCGTCAGCAGGCACGCCACGCGCTCGTCGACCGCCGCCAGCGCGTGCAGCAGCGTCAGCGCCATCTCGCGGCGCACCTGGTCGTCGGCGCGGCCGACCCAGCGCGCCGCCAGCTGGCACACGCGCTCCAGCCGCCAGCTGGGTGGCGTCGCCAGCAGCAGGTCGACGTTCTCCGCGTGCACGCAGATCCGGCACAGCGCCTCGAGCGCCAGCCGCTGCGCCGACACGGCCGAGGCGCCGGTGGGCAGGGGGTCGGCCGCGTAAGAGGCCGGACACTGGAGCCAGTGGAGCAGGCCGTCCAGCAGTGGCCGCACCACCGGCTCGTCCAGAGCGCCCAGCCGCAGCTGGCCGCCGATGTTGGCCAGCGTGACGAGCGCGCTCTCGTGCAGCGCCGGCAGGTGGTCGGCCCACCAGGCGTCGCCGCCCAGCGCCGGGCACAGCTCGCGCTGGTCAGCGTCCTCGTCACGATCGTAGTTGGTGTGCGCGGCGGCGCGCGCCGGGTGCCGGTGGTGCAGCTGCAGCAGGTCGCCCAGCAGCGACAGCACCGGCTCGGCCGCCAGCTCCGCCTCGTTGCCCGGCACGAACGAGAGGTTGCGCAGCACGGTGGCGACGGCCAGGCAGCGCGCCGCCATGCCCTCCTGCGTCTCGGACGTCAGGAACAGGCTCGCCTCGTCGCGCTGCTGGCACTCGTCCTCCTCGTCCGGCCGGCGCCGCTTCAGCGTGCCGGCCGGGTCACGAATCTCGAGCCGCGGCCGCGCCGGCGACCCGTCCGGCGACGCGGTGCCGTTCACCAGCGGCGGCGGCGCCGGCGAGCGGGAGCGCTCGCGCTTCACGCCCGCCAGCGCCGCCTCCGGCGACGGCTCGCACTTGATCGCCGGCTCCGACTTCGGCGCCGCCGCGCCGTCGACGCCCGCCTCGCCGCCGTTCGCTTCGGGGATAGTCACGGCGGCGGCCCGGCGCAGCCGCGCCAGGAAGAAGCCCGGGTCGTCGAAGCCGGCCAGCCGGTCATTGGCGGCGTCGGTCGCCGCCCTCTCCGTCTCGGAGTCCATCTGAGCGTCAGCCGGCTCTGCCTTCACCACCGCACTCCCTGCACCACCACCGCCGCCGTCACCACCGCCACCACCGTCACCAGCGCCGCGGCCGTCCGGGAGCCGCCGCTGGTGCGGCACGCGACCCGACTCGACCTTGACGTGCGTCAGCACGTGGTCCCAGGCGTCGTCGGCGCCGGGCGCGTGCGCCTCCCACGCCTTGCGCCGGTCCACCACCAGAATGGCGTCGCCACGCTCGGCGATCTCCACCGGCCGGCCGTGGCGCGTCACGCGGCTGTAGTCGACGCCCGAGAGCAGCGGCTGCCGCTCGGCCGGGTCGGCCGGCCGGCAGGCGCCCAGGTCGGGCTCCGGCTCGGCGGGCGGCGCGCCGTCCTCGAACCACTCGCCGGCGGCGCGGCGCGCGAACACGGCCGCCAGCGCCTGCCGGAAGTGGTGCAGCAGCGCGTCCAGCAGGCCGGGCATGTGCGCCAGGCCCAGCCACGACACCGACGTGTCGTCGAAGCTGAGGATCTGAAGCACGTCCAGCGCCCAGCGGCTCTCGGCCAGCTGGCCCGAGCGCAGCGCCAGCACCAGCCGCCAGCCGTCCAGCGCGCCCACGTCGGCTCGCGTGCCGCGCCGCCGCCGCGCCAGCACCGGCAGCGTGGCCTCCACGCTGTCGGGTGGGAAGGCGGGGCGCAGGTAGGCGGCCGTCACCGACTGCAACAGAGCGGCGCCGCGTCAGCCGGCGGACAGGGGGCGGCGAACGGGCGGAGAAGCATGTCAGGCAACCTGCAGACGGTACAGTGAGCACGGAGCGGAGTGAGCGCATCAGCGAGCATACGAGCACGGGCGACCGACGTGGATGCCTGACGTAGCACTGATCTCAAGCTCCGAAAACAGATGGTCCGAGACGCGCACATGACACGACGAATGTCCAGCCACCGGCGGCGGAGCGCGGACCAGCGCAGCCGGCGCCGAACAGCCTGTCGTCCCGCCACAGGCCTGGCCCGGCCCACGGTTGCGAGCCCGGATAGCGCCGGAGACAGCCCGCGAGGCTCACCTTGGCCGGCTGTCCGGGCCGGTCTGGCCGTCCGGCGGGCCGCGGGCCGGCGGCGCCGCCCTGCGCGCCGCTCCACTGGGCCGGCGCGGGGCCGGGGTACCGCTGCGACCACTGGCCGCCCGCCTGGTGCTGGGTGTACGTGCCGCCCCGCCAGCCTGCCGGCGGAGGCACAACACGTGCTCAGACCGCGGCACCGGTCACGGCCGCCGCTCCACAGTCACGGCATGGGTCCTGCGGCGTCGCTTGACATGCATGTCGGACACATTCGTGAACACGCGTCGTTAGGAAGTTCATTGACTCACCGGTTGTACTATTGCGTGGTTAGAAAAACCGCTAGAATAGCAATCACTTTTATACTACCCACCGGTGGGAAGAACACGAGAAGGATGCCTACCTAGCACGCAAACTATTATTCCGCTCTTTTCAACACAATCCGGCCGTTCGAGTGGTTCGTTGCGCGCGTCCCCACGTCGTCCCAATCGCTGCCACCCCAGCGCCTATGCCGGACGCCGGTCCACCAGCATCACTAGGCCACGTACCGTACGCCTGCTGCTGCTGCTGCGGCTGGGAGTAGGAGAGCGCGCCGGCCGGTGGCGGCGGCCGGCGCGGCCCCACCGCCCCGGGCGGCGCGGCGGCACGGTACGGCGCCGCCATGCTGGCCGCGGCCGCCGAGGGCGCCGCGCTGTGGTTGTACGGCTGCGGGGGACGGAGCGGTCGGTCACGAGCGCGGCCGGCGCTGGCTGGACGTCGCCGGCGGGCGCGAGCGCAGGTCGGCAGCGATGTGGGATAGCGAGTCGAAAGACATGCGAGACGCCAGTGAGGCGTGACAACTCGCCCCAACCCCCCCAGCGAACATAACACTCCTGCACGGCTCGGAGACAGCTGCTCGTTATAGCGCCCATTCCCTCCCGCGTCTGCTCCATCTGCGGCAGCGTCCACCTCGGTCGCTGCATGGCAGGGGTCCCCGATCTCCCGCACCATCGCCGCACCAGCGCGCGTCCGGTGCGGCCCGACCCCGTACTCACTGCGCCGTGGCGCGCCAGACTGAGCTGCTGCGCGGCCGGCGACACGACGGCCGGCGGCGCCGCCAGCTGGCGCGAGAGGGTGGGCGCCGCCGCCTTCGACGGGCTCATCTAGAACACACGGCCGGCCGGCAGCGGCGTGAGCCGGCGCGGCGCGCGGCCGAAGCGACACGGGCGGCGTCCAGGCACACAACACCAAGCAACACATATCAACGGAAATCAAACGCGCCGGAGGCGACAAGCGAGGCGAGGCATCGACAGAGAGAGAGAGAGAGGAGAGAGAGAGAGCGGGAAGGCGGGCGCGAGTCTGGACGCCCTGCGGAAGCGGCCGGCACAGGCCGTACGTACTGTGGTGGAGGCGCGAGGCGCGCCGGACGGCGCCGACAGCTGCCGCGCCAGCTGCGAGCTGAAGCCGGCGCCGGGCGGCATCTACAGGAATGCACACGACAACCGCTGACTACGGAGCATCCACGGCGCCCGGCGCGGCGCTCGCCGGACTCGGGCGCCCGAGGACTCAGCCGCGGTGACCGACCAATGCCACAGACAACGGCCAGCGACCCGAGACGAGCCAAACCAAGCAAACGCAAAGCGGTCACGTGCTATGTACACGCTTCAGCGCAGGCAGGGCAACAAAAAGCGTACGAAGCTTATATGCACACGCGTCAAGGATGCGAACACCACGAACACAGCACTCCAGGTGGCCGACCTGCCCCGTCGCCCCTCCACTCACGGCCGTATAGGACGCGTCGGTGGCCGAAGCCGGCGGGTACGGCTCGCCGGCGCTGCTGTAGACGGGCGGCGGCGGCGGCGTGCCTGCCGGGCTGGCGGCGGCGGCGGCAGCGGCGGCAGCGCCGGTCGGCGGCGGCGTGCGCTGCGGCGCCGGCGGCCCGGCGCCGTACAGCGGCCGCGCCGCCGCGCCGTACGTGGTCGGGCCCGGCGGCGGGCCCGGGTAGCGGTACTCGGCGCCCGGCGGCTGCCCGGCCGGTGCCGACACAGCGCCGCCGTACCTGCCGGGCACAGGGCACGCTCAGCTGAACGGCCGGCAGCTGGAGGCCCGCACGGAGGGCGACGCGACGCGGGACGCGGCCGCAAACCGGGATCGCACTGTCGCAACGCGATCGAACCACACCGAAAAGGGACCACGGTGTGTACATACATTCATCGCGACGAAACTCCCAGGAAGCCGCACCCTCAGTCACTCTCAGTCGCTACAACCCCCGCGCCCCTACCAACTGAACCGCCACCCTCGCCTCCACGCCGGCGGGACATCGAACCTCACGTGGCAGCGTCACGGCACCCCTCCGAGCGGCCTACCGGTTGGGGTATGGCTGCATATACTGCTGCTGCTGCTGGGGCGGGTACTCCTGTCCGGGCGGGCCGGGCCGCGCCTGGCCGCCCGGGTAGTGTCCGTAGCCCGGCTGGGACGCCGCCTGGCCCGGGTAGCCGTGGCCCGGGTAGCCTGCAGCAGGGCACACGCGGGGTCACGTGGCCGGCAGTCATCGCTGGCGGGGCCATGATTTGGGCGCTTGAGGGCGCTTCACACGCATGGTCGTACGTTATCCACTGTGGTGATCACTATTCTGTGGGCACAGCCCAACAGCCCGTCGGACCGATCAGCACTTCACGAGTGCGGCACTTTCATGAACACGCCGCAGGGACGACGTCATCAACGTTCCGTTCCGATAAAGGCAAGGACTGAAAAGCCGGAGCAGCCGGCCGGGGCGGGCTCTGCAGACCGCGGCGGCGGGACACCGCTCAGCACCACCCCATCACCGCGAGCCGCTGCCCCTCCCACCTCCAGCGCCGGACCGGAGTCCCGTCACCCTCCCACCTCCCAACACCGCCAAACAGCCCAGCGGCGGGACACCGCTCAGCACCACCCGATCACCGCGAGCCGCTCCCCTCCCACCCCCAGCGCCGGACCGGAGTCCCGTCACCCTCCCACCTCTCAACACCGCCAAACAGCTCAGCGGCGGGACACCCTCCACTCCGGCCGGCGTCGCCCCAGTCTCATGCGGCTGAGGGCCGCCGCCGGCGGCAGTCCGGCACGCCTGGCGGTGGCGCGGCGGCAGCTGTCGCGTCGCGAGCACGCGGCGCCACCCCTGCCGGTCTCTCTCTGCGCTCACCCTGCGGCGACATGGCCGGTCCGGTGCCGTTGTACTCGGGCCGCGGGTAGCCGGGCGGGTAGCCGCCGGGGAAGCCGTCCAGCGAGCCTGAGTTGGAGAAGCCCTCCGGCGGACCTGCCGACGCCGGGACAACGGTCACCGACGGCTCGCCACGCCGGCTGGGGGCCGGCCGGCAATGCAGTCATACCCCTGACGGCCCGAGCCCTCAGCAGCCATCAACACCACACTCTTTGATGAAGAGGTGACTGGTGTTTGAAACCGCCTTTCCCCGTGCCGCTACTGGCGGTAAGCAAGCATAGCGAAATCATACAACGCGCCTCTTTCCGGAAGAGGAGGCCCGGCTCCAACAACAGAGATAAATCGTGTCGATGAAGACGGCTCGGACCGATAGCCGCCATATTACGGTCTCATTGGATGGCCAGTAGCTCCCAATCACCACCATGGCGCCCACTGTCCAACCTCTGGCACCCAGACGAGCTGCAAACACCAGCCCCACCCCGCCACATCCGTCAATCAGTCACGTAGTCCTTACAACACTGAACAGCGGGCAACAATACCTGCAACACAATAAAACGGGCAGCACGCCACAGGGAGAAACATAACACCAGGACAAAACAAGCGACAGGACGACACACGCCGAGCACGTAACACCACATGCCACGCGCGCACGCACCGGGCGAGGAGGAGCGCTTCTTCTTGCTGCTCTTGGTCTCGAACTTGGCCACGATCGGGGCCGGATCCTGGCCGCCGCGGTCGAAGTGGCACTCGAACGCCAGCAGGTTCTTCATGTAGTGCTTCCGCAGCGTGTAGGCGCCGCTGGACGAGCCGCCGATGCCCATCACGGTCGCCACATCCTTCCAGGTCTTGCTGGTGGTCACCTGCGGCGGCCGGAGGCGCGTCACGCGCGGCCGATCGGGCGGCGCCGGGGCGCGCGAGCCGCGGCCAGGCACGGCGCGGGAGGCGGCCGTCTCGGGGACAGGGTCGGGACCAGAGGAGAACCAGTGACCGGCCGGGTGATCACCGATTCAGATGACAGTGAGCTGGCCCATGCCACAACAGCTCAGCCGCCACCAGCCAATGTCAGCAGAAGGCAGCTGGACAGCACGGTCTCACTATCCGACCAACAGGCAGCCAGTCGGAGCCTGTCTGGCGGTATGATGGTCTCACCATCCGACCGACAGGCAGCCAGTCGGAGCCTGTCTGGCGGTATGACGGTCTCACCCTCCGACCGACAGGCAGCCAGTCGGAGCCTTTCTGGTGGTATGATGGTCTCACCATCCGACCGACAGGCAGCCAGTCGGAGCCTGTCTGGTGGTAAGATAGTCTCACCATCCGACCGAGATGGCAGCCAGTCGTAGCCTCTCTGACGGCATGCTCTCTCCACCGCAGTCAGTCCGCCGACTCCCGCAATACCCACGCGCCGTCCCGTTTGCCAGACAAACGCGGGCGGCACTCAGCCGCCAGCCGCACCCTACCTTCCGTATGGGTATATCCCTGCCGCGTCACTTGGCGAGTTTGTACTAACGATCGGCACCTGCCCCGCCTCCTCCCGTAAAGCGCTTTATGACGCGGGCGCGGCGAGAGAGGTAGCACAGGTGGGAGACGGCTCGATCGTCGGTCTGACGGGCTCGACGCCACCTGACTATCGCGGCACCTGCTCACCTCCCCAATGAAAAACACCGACCGACTGCGGCATGGCGGCAACAGCGAACATCACCTGTTGATGGTGACGAAGGAGAGAAGCACCAAAATGGAGCGGCTGAACGTACTAGTCTCAGGCCACACAATCACGACAGCAAGACGACTGCAGCAATGAGCCACTGCACGACAACCACTGCAAGGGGCCGCGGCACACCGCACACACATGACGCCGGTGGCGGATGCACGGAGTCCGATCAGAGGGAGGCGTCCAGGGGTGGCCCGACGTGCGGCAGACGGTCTTTCCACCAGGGCCCGCTGCTCGCTCCACTGACCTCGACGAAGCCGCCGCGCTCCTTGGTGAAGTGATACAGCTTGAAGAGGTCCAGCGGCTGCTTGGAGACGGTCGGGCACTGCAGGATGGGCGAGCCGCGCTCCTCCATGAAGGCCAGCAGCCGGCCCACCCACTCCCGGCGGCCCGGCGCGTCGTCCATCTCGAACAGCCGGCTGAGACTCTCCGCCTTCTGTCGACAGCGGCGGGGGACGTCGGTTCGCGACACGCGCCGGCCGGCCCGGCCCGGCCCGGCCGCACAGCGTCCGCACGCGCGCGAGCGGCCCTCAACGGTGTCCGGTCTCGCCAAACGCGACGACCGCCGCCGCGCCACCGTCGAGATCGGGGGGGGGGGGGGGAGCGGAGGGGGGGGGGGGGACTGCCACGTGACTGGCCTACAGACGTTTACCCATGCACTCGCTCAGGGTGATTGCTAGGAGAACATAGCTCTGCTGTTATTTCTTACGACAGTCACCATTTTTAATGGCGCTTCCTCAAATTGGTCGGTTTTGATGGTCAGAATGATTGTCGTCTAAAGAAAGGCATGCCGTGCCCGGGAGGCGAAACTGTTCTTACAACTGATCGACATACCGTGCCGCAGCCGAAAAGCGGATGTCGCGAATGATCGCAGGCAAGTACCAATATCTGGGTAGCGAGAGGTCTCGAGGAAGCTGATTCTGCCCGCTGGCAAGACAGGATCCGGTGAGGTCGCACCGGGCGGCTCATGACATACTGGGAGTGCACTCGGGACACCCCCACCCTCCCCCATCATCAACGCTGTAACTACGCTTCCAGCCCAACCCTAACGACAGCACCATCCTCATACAGGCCGGGACGATGATACAGCTACACAGGTAAAGCGATGCGCATGCACGTTACGCGTCAGAGGAGTCGGGTCGACGGGCGGTGACCGCGCTTGGTGTTGCCGTCCGTACCGGAGCCTGGCGGCGGCGAAACCTGACTGCCAGGCCGCGAGGTGCCACTTCCAGCTACGGCACGCCGTCAGCCGTCCCAAAATGCGGTGACGCCGCAGCATCCCCCGAGTGGCTTTACTATCATCCGCAGCAATGCCGCTAAATGGGACCACCCACCGATACGCCCGTAAAAGCCTTGCAGTACACTGTTCCCAAGCGTCGCACCCCAATGTTCAGCCTCCAGTTACAAGTATGCAAAATCGATGTGGCACCTGCGCTCTTCAAAGCACAAAAACAAAAGCACATGAGGCCACCAATCGTGGAGAGAGCACCGCCATCACCGAACGGAGCCCCACCAGTATGCACCGAGGTGGTGTTCGATAATTTACTTTGATTTTTGGGACTGCACAGGGGATCATCTTCTCAATTCACGCATCATCCAAAAACCATATTCGAAGAAATTATCATGGCGTGAGCAATTTGAAACAGAGAATACGGCTTCAAAGCTTGAAGAACCCACCAGCTACCATTGACAATGGCTTGTTTCCAATATGCGTAGCGACATTCTACACCCCAGATGACTCAAAGGGACATATCAGGGCCCCGCAGTTGCAATATTAAATTTGTTTCATAACCAAGATGAAGCTTATATTAACTGTAGCGCAGTGTTTCAATATTCGGCCACTTGGGTGATAGGGGTGTGATATTTGTTCATGATATTACAGCCCCGGCTTGGAGTTCGCGCCCTCCTGCCTCCCCCCCCCCCCCCCACTCACTCAAAATCGGTCAATAAGCACCGAACCCGGGGCGGGCAAACCAGCATATAAGCGCCTAAGGCTTCACGACTGGGTCCGGCAGGTCACATGTCCGGGTTCGGGGTCAAAGGGCAACGGATTAGCGCCAACGACTTGCGTGCGGAGGCCACCGGAGAGCCGGCATTCTGACAGCATGCATTCATATTTACATACTGCACGCCTACTGGTTGCGTTTTGGTAGGCTGCTGTAGCGTTGGGCAGCACCTTGAAGCCCAGTTGGACCCTGAATATCCTAGTTAGTTAGTTAGTTGTTGAGCTTTAAGGGTGCGTCAACTGCTAATTATTTGCGCCCGGAGGGGAATATCCGCCGAAACGAGTTGGACTCGGCTTCTGCGACCCAAAGCTTACCCACATATCAACTAGACGGCCTGAGCGCCCCAACACGGAACATTACCAGGCGGCCAATGCATTGCAAATGAATACGCCCGTGTCAGTAACGTATAGCTGATGCTGCGACGGTCCACAGACGGCACACACAAAGTGCTACAACAGAAAGCCAAGCGTAGCGCCGATCAGCTGCAGCCCCAACATCAGCGGCCAATCAGCGCCACGGAGCACCGAAGCCCAGCCGAGCAACAGCGTGATTAGCAAGCGTCACAGTGCGGTTGTGGAAGCGAAAAATCACAGCCGCCGGACGGCGCGCTGAGGAGCCGGTCACGACAGCACAGCGGCGCCGTAACACAGCGCCGGTGTGGACCTTTGACGGCGGGTACGCCTCCCGGGCCGGCGGCTCGCTGTACGTCTGCTGCTCACGGTGGGAGGGGAGAGGGGGCGTTAGTGGGGGCACTACACCGCGGCGCACCGGGCGAGCTCGGCAGCGTTAGTGGGTGGCGGCGCAGTCTCACAGCAAAGGATCGCACCGCATTCCTGGCTCCGCCGCCATACACGAGCATGCTACTGTTATCCTGACAACAGACGGGCACGTGCGAAGAGCCGAAGGGGAGGGACGGGCCAGGCCGGCGCGCCGGGCCCGCCAACCCTCCTTCGCCCGCCGCCGGTTCCGTCACATCTGCACGACCACATCTGGGCCACGCGGACGGCCGCACTAAAAAATATAAAAAACAAAACAAAAAGAAAACGATGATGATTTAGGCTTTAGGGCGCGCCATCTGCTCTGGTCATATTGCGTCCGACCAGAAAATAATAATACGAAAAAGCAACGCCACCAAAGTGGGCCCCATCAGACCGGCACCAGAGATCGGCACTACAGAGCGGCCTCGGCTCGCTGTGGCTGTCCGCTGGCGCAGCCGCGCCGCCTCACCGTGCCCGGCGAGCGCGTCCAGGCGACGCCGGGGCCGCCGAGGCCGCCGCTTGGCTCCGGCTCGTCGAGTCCGGGCGCCGGGCCGCCGGGCGAGGCCAGGCCCGACAGCGGCGTTGGCGGCTGGCTGCCCGGGCCGTCGCGGCGCGGCGGCTTCGGCGAGCGGCACGCCTCCTCAGAGTCTGCCCGGGCACACAGGCACGCCGTCACAGGGAGTGTCACGTCTGCACGGCGCTCCCACGACAGCGGAGCCTTGGTCACAGCACGGGTGCTGGGTCACGGCAGGGGCGTTGGGTTAGGGCAGGGGAGCTGGGTCACAGCAGGGGGCAGGGACACAACAGGGGTGCTGAGTCAGAGCGGGGACCTTGTGTCGGAGCACGGGCTAGGTCAGAGCGGGGGCGCTGGATCAGAGCGGACCAGGTTAGATAACAGGTTACGTCAGCACGGCTCACGACAGTTGGCTAGTTATCGCTGCTTAAGGGCCTGCACACTGCTGGGGTCATTTTGCTCCGGGCGAGGTTACGTCAGAGACGGGGTCACGTCAGATGGGGACATGCCCACAACGGAGTTTGACGGAAGAGAGAACGGCCACGTCCAAAACATGCCGACAGCACCGGAGACAAGGCAGGATACAATCACACTGTGAATTGTGCACAGCGACGGAAGCAGGAAGAAACCAGATCGAGACACTTTACACGATAGGAGATCTAATCGTGGATGGAGATGAGGAAACACAGAGAACAGCTCGCGAAGAGCGTGGCTCGGTCATAACGGCGCTCAGTCACAACAGGATGGTGGCCGATCCCAGCCACGTGACCGGTCGAAGCCAAGTCGCAACATGGGACAAGGCAGACTGCTATCACGGCACCCCAGCCGGCGAGTACACGCTACGCGGGTCGGATCAGCCGCGGACCTGCAGCTCCACCACACAGCGAGCGGGTTTGACGTGATCGAGACCAGAACTGGTGGCCAACGGCAGGCGTATTAGGTGGCTCGACAAGTGGAACAATGTCTCAGAACTGGGCCAGGGTGGACCGCGGCTCACGTGCGGCTTTTGCAGCAGGCACGCTATGCGCCATGGTCAGCACAGCTCAAACACGATGCTCAAAAACACCACCAACCAGACAACACTTACATCAACATGTCAACACAACCAGCAACATAAATTTCACCAACGTCGTCACCAGCATTTTTATCCGATGTCGAATGCATAGCACCACACGCCCGGCGCGCACCGGTGCCTTTCTTGGAACTGGATGATCCGTATTATTTTCGGGACTGAGCAGTCTACACGAACGCGGCCGGTGGATTTGTTCGGGCGACATCGTGAGTTAAGCCTCCTTCGGATACGGCCAACAAGACAGTCACTAATCCATGTCAGCTCGTGCAAAACGCTCAGGTATGCAACGATGCTGTCATCAAATCAGATAGCCAGTAAGAGGGTTTTGCGGGGGGTGCTATCATTAAACAGCAATATTAACGCCAGTACCTGTCCCGGTTTACAGCCGAAATCCGACGTGCACTGGCAGCTAGCGCAACAAGTAACATCGCGTTACATTCACTGGGCCTAACTGAGGAATACACCGGAGGCTGTGCTGAGGCTAAGAGAGAGGGAGAGAGAGAGAGAGAGGGCGGCCGGCAGTATTCACAAGCGCATGTGACGTCCCCACCGGACGGTCAGCACGGCGATTGGGTCTGCGGACGCACGAGCTCCCGGATACACCCGGGGCTGCGGGGGTGAACGCAGGGCGGTGCACCATCAGAGCCGGCACTGAGCAGGGCGCGTGGCGCCACACACCTCTGTCTGGCAGCTTGCGCACAAGCTGCCAGACAGAGCCGAGCAGCCGTCATCACGCGGCAAATTCGAAAGACACCTCGAGGGCATAAACACGGCGAACGGCATCCGACTGCCAGTTCAGCGGCGGCCCTCGCCGCGCTACCGCTGGCCACTCACTGGCGCTGGCGTTGGAGAGCGTGCTGTGCTGCGAGCCGTCGTCGAGCGCGGTGCCGTCGGGACCGATGAGCGCCGGCGCGGCGGCCAGCGTCGGCTCGCCGCCGCCTCCCGGCTGCGAGGCGTCGCTGCCCTGCGAGGCGGGCCGCGGCGGCGGCGGCATGGCCGGCGGCGGCGCGCCGGCCCCGTACTGCAGCTTCTGCTGCATCTGGTGCCGCAGGTAAAGCGGCGAGAGCGGCGAGCGCGGCGGCGCGGCGCCCGGCGGCGCTGGCTTGCCGGTCGGCGGCGGCGCCGGCCCGCCCGGCCACGGCTGCCGAGGGAAGCATGGGTCAGGCGGCGGCGCGCCGGCGGGACACGAGACAGAGCGGGCACGGCGGAGGCAGGCGGCGCTGGAGACACAGCAGAATGGAAACGGACCGCAGAGACAGACGGAGGATGCAGAAGGCGAGGAATGTGAGTGCAGACTGGAGGCGGGCCGGCCAGATGGCGCTTGACACACACACATAAGGCGGCGGACATGGCCCAGACAACAGGCTGACAGCGCGCCGCCGAACAGTCCCATGTTTTGCGAACATGGGAGGCGACATCGGTACCTCCATGCGCAAACATAAGCCAGCCCTCTTTTTGAGGGGACAAAAACCGAATCGTTGACATCCGGTGCGGCAAAAACGGAGCCAACAGCACACAACACACATCCCGAACGACCGATGAAGACCCCGCAGACAAAACGACTAACGTGACCTCGGCCGCATCCCCTCCGTCTGCCGACCCTGAACCTCCGCTGCCGGCCAGCCCGGTCGGCTCACCTGGTGTCCGGGGTAGGGGTAGTGCTGGCCGGGCGGCGGCGGCACCGGCGCCGGCGCTGCCCGGCCGTACGGCGAGCCGTACGTGCCGGCGTGGCCGCCGTACGACAGCGGGGCGCCGCTTGGCGGCGGCGGCTCCGGGGCGCCCCGGTAGCCCGCCTCGGGACCTGGCCGGTACCCGGCTTCAGGGCCCGGTCGGAAGCCAGGCTGGTCGGAACCAGGCCGGTAGCCGGGCTGGTCAGGGCTGGGCCTGTAGCCAGGCTGGTCAGGGCCCGGTCGGTAGCCGGGCTGGTCGGGGCTGGGCCGGTAGCCAGGCTGGTCAGGGCTGGGCCGGTAACCGGGCTGGTCGGGGCCCGGTCGGTAGCCAGGCTGGTCGGAACCAGGCCGGTAGCCGGGCTGGTCGGGGCTGGGCCGGTAGCCAGGCTGGTCAGGGCTGGGCCGGTAACCCGGCTGGTCGGGGCTGGGCCGGTAGCCGGGCTGGTCAGGGCCCGGTCGGTAGCCGGTCTGGTCGGGGCCCGGTCGGAAGCCGGGCTGCTCGGGCGCCGACCGGTAGCCGGGCTGGTCAGGGCTGGGCCGGTAGCCAGGCTGCTCGGGCGCCGGCCGGTAGCCGGGGTGCGGAAGATAGCCGGGCTTGTGGGCCAGGCTGGCAGCGCCGGGCGGCGGGTAGGGCAGCGGCGGTGGCGCCAGGCGCTGGCCGCCCGCCTCTTGCGGCGCCGGAGGTCGCGGCGGCAACCCCAGGCTCGGTTGACCTGCGAACACCACGGTCAGGTCCAGACCCCTGGCGGCGCAGGCACACGTGGCGGCCGGGCCCGACCGAGCGCCCGCGGCGCGGGCAGACACGGGGATCGGAGCCTCACGCCTCGCGTCAGGGACAGGCCCGCCACAGCGGCCAAACTTGGTACAATGGGGTTGACCGACTCCACCACGGGCACACCGGGCTCCCGGATATACACCAGAGCACAACGATACGAGCCTCAACACAGAGTACCCACGTACGTAGTACGTGATACCATCCCGACGCACCAGCTTGCCGGGACGGGCATCCCGTGCGCCCGTCTCCTGTCCACCTGCCGGACAGCGGGGATTCCCGGCCGGGGCGACCACTCGACTTTCCGCCGTACTACCGAGCCACTACGGCCGCCACACAGGAGATCAGTTGTCAGCGCCGATTCGTGCCAACACATGCCAATACGCCGAACTGACTCGCTGACCCCAGCTGAACGCGCTGAACGCCGGCTAAACCCATCACCCGCGCTGAGAGCTCAGCCCGGCCCACGTGTTGCGTGACGGCGCCGTAAGCGCCGCTGCCGCATCGGCCGGGGCGGATCGCCGCGACAGCGTCGGCTTCCGGCCAGCGCGCTCAAGCCACTGCCGGAAGCCCTCCCTCGGCGCGCCCCTCCCATCTCCGGTCAGTCGGCGGACGCTTCGGCGCGGCGGCGCCGTCAGCTGGCCGCCCGGTCATCCATCAGGAGAGGGCGAAGAGTGGCCGGGCGGCGGGCGGCGGGCGGCCCGCCCTCGCCCCCGCCGGATAACGGTCTGGCACGCGCCCAGACAGCCGGCACGCGTCACGGTCAGGGCCACAGATCACACGTGCCGCCTTCGCCGTCGTCGACCCCCCCCCCCCCTCACACGCTGTCCTGCCCCTCCCCCGCAGCCAGCTGGAAACGTAGCCGGCCGGCCGCCGGGTGACCGTGAGCGGGGAGGGGGGGGGGAGGAGCAGGCTATTATCGAGCCCATTCAGAGGCGCCACGGTCCGCGTAATGGGCACACCGACGACCCGGTCAGCTGGGACCGAGGCGGCGCGGCGCCCACCCCGGATGGCAAGATCTGGCTGACAACACAGCCCGGCAGAGCTGCCGGGCCGAGGCGCACGTGCCTCCGGTGACGGTGGCATCAGTGGATGTGCATGCACATTGATAACGCGATAGGGAATAAAAATAGCCTCGCTATGACGCGCGGATAACGTGCAGGAGACAGGACATGGCCTCCTTACGCCCCTGTCCTCACCTCGCACGCGTTGCTGGGATACTGCATGTGCGCCTACACAAGCTGCTGTGTGGTTTGCATAGCTAGCTGCTTCGTTCTAATAAGCTGGCCTTGCCGCGTAACCCAACCATTTCACGCAGGTGACAAGTGCGAACTATTGCACTCGCCTCTGGCCCACACTCGGGCTGCACTCCTCTGTCTCACACTCAGACTGCGTTCCTTTGTCTCACACTCAGACTGCGCTGCTCTGTCTCACAATCAGACTGCACCCCTCTGTTTCAAACTCAAACTGCGCTCCTCTGTATCACACTCAGACTGCACTCCTGTCTCACAATCAGCCTGTACTCCTCTGTCTCACACTCAGGCTGCACTGAAACTGCACTCGAAAGCACGCCGTCGCCGCAGCCGGCGCGTGGCCGACAGGTGGCGGCGCGGCCCTATCTCCGCAGGTGACCGTGGCCCTGTCCCCTGACCGGCGGCCAACCAAGCACCGCCTGCCCCGGGCGCCGACACGACGGCGGAAACTCACCTACGGCGGGCGCCATGGCGCTGAGTCGGACCGGCGGTGGCGGCGGCGGCCGGCCGGCCAGCGGGCCCGGCTCGCGCTCCGTCGCCGGCGCCGCCGGCTCGCTGGCGCCCAGCTCCTGCCGGCAGAGACAGACGGGACGACCGGTCAGCCGCTGCCGGCTCGGCTCCGGCCGCCGTGGGCAGCACCGCCCACCGGCAGGCAACGCCAGCGCGCTGCGAACCAGCCGCCGGCGAGGACAGTAGCACACTCACTCACACACACGCGCGCCCGCGCTGAGAGCGCCCGCTCATGTCGAGTGCGAGCGCCGCAGCTGGGCGGCTGAGTGCTGTCCGCGGACAGAGACCCGCGACTGGGCGTGGCACGACGCGGCCCGAAGCCCGTCCTGGCCGGCGCCAACCCGGACCGGACCGGACCACCAGTGGCGGTCCCCACCGCGGCGGCAGCGCACGTCGGGACGGCGGCGGTGCTGGCGGCGGTGCTGAGATGATCCTGGCCCTGAGGCGTGTACGAGGGGGGGGGACGCGTCACAATCACGGAACTACCTCAACCGTCTTCCCAATTCTTCCGCCCCCACCATCCCCAGGAAGCATGACATTTGACAAAGCCAAGACGACACGCGAAAGCGTCCCGCGGCGAGCAGATCGACCCTGGCCGTGCGGCGTGCCCGGCCGCCCGCCGCACGCGCATGACGTGGGGAGTAATCCGGCCGGCGCGTGTGGGGTCTGACTCACGGGCGGCGGCCAGCAACCACGTGCTATCGCCCAAGGCTTGTTTACTACCACGGCATTTGCTCCTCTTGTCACACGGGGACTGACACAGACGCCTCATTTGAAGGTGGCTTAAAAAAAATATTTCCTGCACTCGGCTATTTTTTTGCTCGGGAATAAGATGACCGCAGCTTTTTGCTCTTGGATAGGTGACATAATACAGCAAGTGCGATCGCGTCATCAACGCATACTTTCCTGTAAATCGGAATCGCTATCTTAAAAGCCGGCACATCGCAAAATTAACAACCCACCAAGCCGGTCGTCGGCTGAAGGAGCCGCGAACCCCCGTCTGCCATCCCCACCGCGATGGCCATGCAAAAACCCAGGCTCTTCTTGATGGACCCATTCAACGATCAGCTGATCTGAAGGAATTCGTGAAATGTCAAGTCACGTGCCATTGTTGTCGTGGGCGGGGCTCCATCACATCGCATGAAACAAGGGTGCTTGTGCGAGCTTCCTGAGTGTTTCGACAGCTCGGACATGAGCATATTATTCTCGGAACACTGGACACGTGACCCGCCGGGACTTTAATTGCAATACAAAATCACGCCTGAGAGAAAAATATATATCACGGGACATGCACACAGCACACAGAAAAAGACGCCGCGCAGCTGCCCCCTGAACAAAGAGAATATGAAAGCGCCGAAACCGATACCATGAATTTAGGCAATGCAACTTACAACCCTGCCATAAAACATAAGAGCCTATGTGCATGACCATCCTCGCAAAATATCAGAACAAAATCTCTGCCAAAACAATTTCATCGCCATTACCAACCGAGCAGACATTCAACCCGCACAACGTACCACCATGCACGGCAGAGCCGTGAAGTCTTCCGCGTGGTCTCCCCACTTGTCCAACAATGATCAAATTCGGTCAGGCCACCCTCTCCACGCAGGGGTTCCCTCGGAGCACACAGGAGCACACAGCGAGCAGCCGCGGCCGGGCCGACGACGGCCGTATCGAGCAGCCGGCGAGCGGAGCACAGAGTCGGCCGGCCGGCGGCGGCGGCGGCGGCGGCGGCCGGGCAGCCGGCACCGGTACAGTCTCCGGCAGCGGCGGCCGCGCCGCCGTACGGCCGCTGACACGGCGTCCGCCGGCCAGCCGCCCGGCCGGGGGAGGAGCGCGGCGGGGATGGTCCAATTTATCCAGATGGGAAGGGCCATGGTCGATCGTAATTGTTGTGCGTAAAAACTGGGCGCGGTGGGTCGCAGACGGCGAACAAAGGTACATCACGACCGTAATGTCCAGTCCTGATATATCGCAAACCCGGTTGAAAAAGCCAGACATTCCATGCCACGCGAAAAAGTCCGATCATTTGGAAGGTGAGTATTGGAGTGAGGTGCTTGTCACGTGATGAATCACGTGCATCACTGCAGGTACCTGAAAGGTGCGCAACACTGATAGTCTGTGGATCCTCGGATCATGTGACATTTTCCGAGCCCCAGTAAAATATGTCAGGCGCCCTCACGAGGCAAAGAAGCTCCGCTTACGATTAAAAACAAAACACGACTGGCATATCAGCCCGACGTGCAGAGCTAGGGGGCGGCCAGGTACCCAGCATTTCCCGTTTTCCCCACTGCTGGCACCGGCATGCGCCCAGGACAAGCGTGCTTACTTAAGAGGACGAGTCCAGATAATCAGCCGCACCATCATATGCCACAGGACTGGGCTGCGAGCGCGCATGCAGTGGAGAGAATCGGGAACCGATCAGATGGCTGAAGCAGGTATATGCCCAAGCCAGTGACAACTCAGTCGCATCGCATCGCACCGTACAAGTCCGCAACAATGTTATGCCTGTAAGAAATACGACTGTAGCCGGCCATTGGTTGCGACATTGTGCTGCTATACGGCTCAGTCGACTCCGGCAGAAGCAGCATTAGCACAAACCGACATGCACTGGCAGACGTATTACGGAATCAAATGACCGCCGCTCAGTTGAATGCCACCGGCTGTCAGAACAGTAAAAAAATTCGGGGATAGTGGATTTACATCAGTGGCCCAAAATACGCGCATATGCTGTTTCAGATACATGCGCCGGTCAAAATTCAGAACTGGCGTTGCTCAAAACGCTGACCCTCAAAACTTGGCACAAGTCAGAGCTCACGTGATTCCCCTCAAATCTTTTCATCCGAACGCACCAGAATTACGCTAGAACCCGCCCTCCAGCATTCGGGAGGCCGCCCCAGCGTCGACCACCGCCGGCCGCCGGCCTGCGCGCCGGCCGCGGAGCTGGCGCGGCGCGGCCGGCCGCCCGGCCGCTGTCGCGGCGCCGGCTGGGCCGGTTCGCCGGGCGCCGGGCGCCGCCGCCGTCTCCGGGCGCAGCGCCGGCTGTAAAAGTGGCGGCCCGGCCGGCCCGGCCCGGCCGGTCGCCGCCAGATGCGCGCCACGCCGCGCCGCGCCGCGCCGCGCACTCCCCCCACCGCCCGGCACGCTATCGATTCGCTCCGGCGGCGGCGGCAGCGGACGAAAAACGGTCGGCCGCCGTCCCAGGTGGCAGCACCAGGCGCCAGCCGGCCACGCGGCCCGCCCGGCCCGGCGCGGCGCGGCGGCCGGCGGCGGCCGGCGACGGGGGCGGCGCGCGGGAGGCGGCCGCTGCGCCACCCCCACTGGCCGTGCTCGAGCCGCCGCTGCATCGATCGTCGCTATAGCGACGCTACTGATCCATGGCCGACCACCTGGCGGCGTGCTCTCCAACTGCGGCCTCTACCGGCACCGGATTCATGGACAGCCAGGCGCTGTATGCCACCGACAACGTATCTCGTCGCAAAAATAGAACGGAACAGAACACCTAAAACCGCAAGTTACAACCCGTATTTTAGCATAATCCAAATGTTTCCACTGCGTGTCAGCCAACATTAGCTGAAAGTGCACACACACGTATATATATATATATATATATATATATATATATATATATATATATATATATATATATATATGCGTTATATATGTATTATATAGTTGGTGCATCCAAACGAAGCCAAGTCATAGGGCACTTGACTATAACTCGGCTAGGCCACCACAGTTCCAGCATATAAGGCGGCGGATAGGCAGCTGCACCCCAGACTAAAAACCAAGGCATGGTTGACGGCTTGTCGCGTCCTTGCATAAAAAAATGAAGTAACACCGCATCTTCTCTACGCCCATCAACGGCCCCTCGGCCAGCACACCGAGGCAATTCTACATCCGAATGGACCATGACCATGACCGAAAGGACCATGAATGCCCAGGGCGGTGCTAATGCTACCTGCCCCTTTAAGGAGCAGCCCTGTGTCGCCGGCACAGTTTGTTCCGCCACGCCCGAACAGCACGGGCGATGCAGAGCCGTTTCCCCACGGGGAGGTTAGCACTGGCGCCGCTCTGGGCATTCAGGTAGACGGGATGCCACACCCCTGATATCGTTTTCGCTCCACGAGAGTGAGCCCGGGCGGGGAAGGTGGGATGGCGGTTTGTCCTGGCCGTTGTCGAGCGCCACAGTCAGCTGACGTTTAGTCGCAGCCAGTGGCTCCTGCGTGACGGCCGTTGTCAGAGGCCGTCCCGCTGGGTAGGCCGCTGGTTTCGGTGTACGTGGAAGCATGGTAGCGGTCCCCATTCCTCGTGAGTCCTATCACTCGAGTGCAGCGACAAGACAGCACGGAGTCCAGGCCACAACGGTCACGTCACAGCAATAATGGCGACGGATCTGGCCACATGGAAGCTCTAGCAATGAAGACCATGTAAGCACAGTGTCTGTGTGTTTAAACATTAGGAAGGCAAACTGCAGGGCAATTTTGGTAGGACTATGAAAGGCCGCAAAAACGGGCCCACCTAACAAGTAAGGACGTGGGCCACTCAGCGGGTTCGGTTCGATGGGCCCGATGAACGGGGCCGGTTGGACAGGCCTGGACCCGGTGAACCGGGGCAGTTCGATGAGCCTGGGCCCAGTGAACGAGGGCGGTTCAATCGGCCTGGACCCAGTGAGCAGGGGCGGCTCGATGGACCTGAGCCCAGTGACTCGGGCCGGTTCGATGGGCCGGTAAACGGGGGCGGTTCGATGGGCCTAGGCCCAGTGAGCAGGAGATGGGGGCCCCACTCAGCGTCAGGTCTAAATCCTTACTCAAGTCCGTTTTTGGAGAATAATCGATGTGATTCCAGTATCATGGAAGTGAACTACAAGGCGCCTGCAATAGCCCCCGTTGCTACTTTTAGAAAACTCCGGTTCAAATCGGACAGCAACTAACAATTATCTCCCAGGCCGTAATGCACA